TCAAAAATTCGGCGGCAATTTCATAATTTTTTTTGTCCCAATACTTAATTGCCGCCGAATTTTTGATAGGTCCCCAATTATATATATATATATATATATATAAAGAGAGAGAGAGAGAGAGAGAGAGAGAGAGAGAGAGAGAGAGAGAGAGAGAGAGACTATTTGCGTGTCTTATTACATATGTCCTCCGGGGCGAAGCCCGGGTAACCAGCTAGTAAAGCTATATCTTCGTTGCGAGGAATCTATATAGACATCTGAAATCAAAGAAACAGGCCTTATTCTTAGAAATCTACTATTCAAAAGTCGTGTTTTATTTTTTGATATTAATAAAAGTTTACGCGAGAAAAAATCAGAAAATTGTTTAAATTAATATGTGGGTTTGAGATACGGCATTGATATCCGTTATCACAAGTACCGCTTAATTAATATAAATCAAAAAGACAAAAGTTGCCTTTCCGGCCTTTCCGGCCTTCGGCTCTATCAATTTGATATGATTGCGTTGCAGCATCCTTCCTGCAAATAGTAATGTATAAAAGTATGCTGTGCAACAAATAATTTTACATTGCAGCGACAGAGAACGTATTTACCACATAGCACAACTAAAATTTATATCAACCTCAGATTGTTTTGCGACAATGAGATGGTTTATCCTTCTGTAAGTAACTTATAATAATCCTTCTTTTTTAATACGGTATCAATAATAAGCAAATCGGATACTTAACTTTTTTTAAAAGGAACTAATTCGCCTTGATTGATTGTAACTCAGGAAAGGTAAAGTCTAAACGATTCATATTTACATGACATTTTTTTCCTGTTTTGAATTCTAGATTTACTTTCTGACAAATACTGAAATTAATTAAGAATTATTTTTTATACATTATATTTATTTTTTGCTTATTATTTTCATATACATTATTACTTCTATACACTGATGAGAGAAATAATTATTTTTTTCAAAAAAAATTTTGTTGATTTAATAAAACCGGAAGATTGTATGTTGCCAAGCAAAATTGTTTTGTTGATTCAACAAAATTTTTCCCTCAGTGTAATACATTATACTTATTTCATTTTGAATCGCACTTTTCAGCGCCTTTATTGGCGTGCTTCTAGTAAAAAATGCCGCACCATCGAAAAATCTGGGATATTCTTCACGTTTGGATTGGTTATTTGGCGTAAATAATGAACCAGATGAAAATAAAAAAGAAAATAAGGAAAAAGAAAAGAAAGATGACAAGCCGACTGTATGCCAATCTCAGGAGTGCAGAAAAATAGGTATTTATTAAACGGCAATAGATATATAGCTGTATTTTAATTAACACCTAATCTGAAAATTTAAATCAATATCTATTTATTGTCTTTTCTTTGTTTCTATCTCTTCTTCCAGCTCGGATAATATCGGAGAGCATGGACAAATCTGCGGATCCGTGCGACGATTTCTATGAATACGCTTGTGGAAAATGGCCAGAACATAATCCTATCCCAAATGGGTTGGAATCCTGGAGTATGTTTAGAAGAGCGCAAATAAATGTCCAGAAACAAATAAAAGGTAAAAGCCAAATCAGCCTGAACTTGTGTGTGTGTGTGTGTGTGTGTGTGTAATGATATTAAAAAAATAAAAATTAAATAATATTTTGTAGAAATTCTTGACGAGGGTCCGAAGAAAAACGATCTTTTGGCGGTGAAACTCGCTAAGAAGTGGTATGCGGTGTGTATGGATACCGGTAAGCGCGAAAGGCTCTCGAATCACTAAAACGTTGTGCGAAAATTCTAATATTTATTATTATTATACATAATCACGTTCTACAATATGATTTCTGATTCACGAAATGCTTCCAGATGCAACTGAGAGGGATGGGCTCGAGCCGCTCGTCTTTACCTTATCGCGGATAGGCGGCTGGCCATTGACAATGGAACAGGACGAATGGAACGAGCAAGAGTACAGCTGGCAAAAAGTGGATGATCAATATGTGCGCTTGACAGGAAGAAATGCTTTTCACGACGTGAGAGTGGCAATCGATTATGGTTCGAACAAGACTCGGAAAGTAGTACATGTACTTATCACGACATAGGGCCGATATCACAGTCCTCGATTAACGTGATCCTCCGATTAAACTCACTCTGCATCTCTTTCTAACTATCCCCCTAGAAAGAAATGAAGAGTGAGTTTAATCGGAGAATCACGTTAATCGGAGACTGTGATATCGGCCTATAAGCTTCTTGTTAAGATTATCATCATTATGCTTGCAATAACATTACTCAAATCCAAAAGCGTGTTTGCGATGTAATTGGCGTCTCTATAATGTATAGAGTATATTATCGGGTATTATCGAGTGCTTATATTCTACGTTGCTCTTTGCATTATACGTGGACGTAAATTTATATTCAAAACATTCGTCTTAATTTTTTACTATCAATTTTTCTTTAGCTTAAGTACTTGTTGCTAGATCAATATTCCGGATCTACCTACGGGTTCAAATAGACTTTGGAGTAAAACCGACAGCGAAGAGAAAGAAGACGAACGCGACGAGAACGCCAGCGACGAGCAGAAAGATAGCCAAGAACGTGGAAGCAAAGAAAAAAACGATGACAAAAGTGGTAATAATAAAAACGATGAAAATGAAGATGATAATAACAATAACGATGAAAGTGATAACAACAATGACGATAAAGATAATGATAATAATGACGAAGAAAATGACGATATCGATACAAACGAACAGAATGACGATGATAATGCGAAGAAAAAGACTGGCAAGTTAGCGAAAAACAAAAAATTAAAGCATAGTAGAAAGATAAAGACTAATACCCACTCCAAAAACAACCATCATAAGACGAAAAAAGAAGGGATAAAAAAACGGACAATACCGACAAATATTCGCGAAAAATTACGCGTATGGAAGACCGAAAAAAATCACGTAAAGCAAGAACGTATAAAAAGACCGAAAGAAACTTTAGAGGCGACAACATCGCAGAATAACACAAAAGAAATGATCGACGAAGATAACGATCTGAAAAAATACGCTAATTACATCTCGAAAGTAGCTCGCGCTATAGCTAAAACAAGAGGCGTCGAAGTCTCAGAGGAACATATAGATAAAGATATTCAAGACATGATCGAATTTCAAGTGAAACTAGTCGAGGTAAGTGCAATCTACTTTACAGACAATGAAAAGAGAAGAATGTATAATAGCCTGAATAATAATATATTTTAGATTACTGCAGGAGCAGATATTATAAGATACAGAGATGTTGAGAGTATGACGCTCAATAATTTTCAGAAATGGTATGATAAAAAGAAACCTAAAACTCCCAACAGCGCAGTAAGTAGCGTTCCTTAATTGACAAATTTAATTTGTTAAATTATATCTCCCTGAATAACTAAGCTTGATTAACGCAACACAGATTAACTGGGTGTACAAAATTGGGGAACTATTTGATGAGGCCCACGTGCAAATAGGTGATGATTTAACTGTAGGAATTAGTCAACAAAATTACTTCAAGGATCTTGTTGCTTTGCTGGATAAGACATCAAGTCGAACAATCGGTAAATTTTAAAAGAAATACAGCGATAATAAGGAAATATCGTCGATGAACGAGTCGTCGCTCACGCGAGATATGTTTCAGTAAACTATATACATTGGAACTTCTTAAGCAGAATAATAAAAACTACCACAAGTGAAATGAGAAAATTATACTATGCATGGGAAGGAAGAGAGGAGAATGATGATAAAGCGGTTCTCGGAATTTCCTTTAGGTGTGATACAAGCTTTTACATCTTTGGAAATTGTTTCATACATGATTATCAGCGTAACCATTTGCTCTTCAAGTCGGTAGAAATATAATTCGTTTTTAGTACATTCTATTTTTATGTCACATTATTTATTCTTAATATAATCTTAACGCGTAAATCAAAATTGAGTTCGTTCTAAATTATACTGATAAATTATAAATCGTTTTCATAGATCGCACAAATGCACACGCGAAGTAGCCGAGATGAGTGTCATTTTGGCGTACGAATATGTCAGGAACCATTTCTCAGATGAAATCACGGCAACTGTAAATACTTTATCTTGATTACTGAAAGTTTTATTTTATCTGACGTTTAAGGCTGATCTACAATGTGCTCTTTGCTTTCTGTTTTTTGCTCTTAACCTCTTTGCGCCTATCTCGTATTTCGCAATTCCGTCGCGTAACGTGATGTTTCTTGTCTCTTCTGAAGTTCGTCAATTTTTATCTTAGGCGACAGAGAACAAAAAACATCGCGTTACGCGACGCAATTGCGAAATACGGGATAGTCGCAAACAGGTTAAGAGCAAAAAACAGGAAGCAAAGAGCACATTGTAGATCAGGCTTTATAACAATACCTATTCTGACAATGAGTCTGTTTTATATAGCTAAACTGGTTGTACTAGTTCAGAGTTTATCTTTTTCCTTCCAATGTGAAGTAAAAAAGTTAAACTCTGAACTATTGCAGCAGCCAGTTCAGCAATAAAAAATAGACCACCATATATTTATTCAATCATATCATTTATTCCTACTGCAGGCATCGGACATGGTGGACGATATACAAAAAGAAGTCGAGTATCAAATTAAAGAATCAAATTGGATGGATGAGAATACTAAGGATTTTGTTTTAGCAAAATTAGTAAATCTAGACAAATTTATCGGATATCCAGATTGGTTTAAGAATAACACTAAGGTTAAACAATATTTTCAAGGAGTAAGTTTCTCAAAATGTATTAATTACCAGTACCACTACATAGTGACTGTTTTACTTAATTATTCTGTTCTGTTAAAGCTCGTTACCGGCAAATCGTATTACGAGAATATACTCAGCTATGATAGATATAGCAAGTGGAAAAGCCTTCGAGAATTATTGTTAGAAGATGACGAAGGTACTGGTGACACGTAAGATAACGCATTTGTATTTGTTCCAGTGTAATTACAGCTTTATTCTTTAATTTGCAAAGCAAATTCATATAATAAATTCCGTGTTACAGAATGATGATAAACCCCACAACGGTAGATGCTTATTTCTCCCCGGGTGCTAATTCCATAGGTTCATAATATTTCTTTTTAGTGGAATTAAATCTATAATATAATTTACAACTATATTCACGTTTATTGACATTAATCTCTTTTTCGATTATAGCTATCTCGGCAGCGGATTTCCAGAGCCCATTATTTGCTTATGGTCGACCACAGTAAGTGAACAATTTCGAACAATTAAAATTATTAACGTGACTATAACGATAAGTACAAATAAGCTTACATAATTTCTAAAAATTTTATAATTCTTAATAAAATTTTGTCTAATTACTTACTCTTTATTCCAGAGTTATTAATTATGGTATTATTGGAATGATCATGGGTCACGAAGTTAATCACGGATTTGATAATAGAGGTAACGTTATGAAGTAATATTTGCTATTAGATTGTTTACTTTATTAAATACTTTATTAAATTGTAATGCTTTATTGTTGCAACAATATAAAAATATCCATCAACTTATTTTAAAATGCATCTCAAAAGCTTTTTGAAAATATTTTAAAAAGTATGACAAGAACAACAAAGAATACTTAATATTAAATAATTTTTAGGACACTTATATGATAAAAACGGAAATGCTGTGGAATGGTTATCTGCAATGGCCGAAGCATATGGCAAGAGGGCAGAATGTTTTGTCGAGCAATTTAATAATTATTCCATTGACAAGACATCGAATTACACAATTGAGGTGCGTTATCTATTCTACATTTAATTACTGTTTAATTTACACTACCGTTATTTTTCGACGTACGTTTTAAAAATAATTGATCATACTTATTCAAAATTGTCAACAATTGCAGAACTATGGCAATCAGACTGCAGGAGAGAATATCGCGGATACAATGGGATTAGAGGCAGCGTTTAAAGCATATCAAAGGAGACAAAGAGAATGCGGGAAACCGGATACTGTATTGCCAGGTCTTGAGGATCTCACTAACGATCAACTTTTCTTCTTATCCTTTGCTAACGTAAGTATCGTGAATTCAGTTGCTAAATTCAAAGCTGTAATAATTAAATTTAAAGAATAATTATGTGCGTCAATATATGTATGTATAAAATTGAGGTAACGCTTGCAGTTGTGCTGCGAAGCTGCAAAAATGAATAGTACTATAAATAAAGCTAAGCGTGACCCACATAGCCCCGGACGGTTGAGAATTATAGGAAGCGTTTCAAATTCACAAGACTTCGCCGAAGCTTACAATTGCCCGATCGGCAGTGCAATGAATCCCTCAAAGAAATGCCATATCTGGAAGTGAATAACTTATACGTTTATTATAAATTAAACTTGCCAATGTTTGACGAAAATGTAAAATAAATGACAAAAGTTGTATATCTATACGTATCGATGAATATTATAATAAGGCATATAATGTAAAGAGCTCGTACATTTTTTTCCGTTACAGGTTTGAAGTGCTCATCATAATTTTATCATGTAAAAATAACAATTAATTATATTTTTGTGTTTTAATTATATTTAAGTAATAACATGTATAGTTATGGTGCGAAGCGTTAATTGATTCAAGTCAGTTAACAAAACTCTACAAGAACAATAATATAGCATTTGGTAACTGGAAGTTATAGGTTCTGCATCGAATTTGGATCACTTCAATACAACTTGCCGAATAATTACCCGATTGGTTCAATGAATCTCGAAAAGAAGTGCAATATTTGAAAATGACTTAACAGAATCTTGCGAAGCAATTTTATAGAAATATCTTGCAGAAGTTATTTATCTAAATCAATGAATAAAACAACGCATCGAAATGCAAATCTATGATCATTTCTTATAATAATTCTCTAACTGCTAAATATTATATCCGGTCCAATTTGCGTGTGATTATCTAATTCATTGAAGATAAAACAGCAAATATTAAGAATATAAACCAAAATCCGATATTGCATCAGGATTAGTTCTTAGTAATATATTGATTGTGCTAGAATTTAATCGTCTAAAGCGTGATCAGACGGAACAAAATATATACATTTTTTATATTATATCAATTTTCAAAAACTAGCATCACCCATTTTTGTTCTCATGTACACTATTATATTTTTGTTATTATCTTAATGAGTTTATTATATCTACTCATTAGTAATTTTTCTTTATTTCGTTTAGTTCGTTGATATTCAATTGAGTACGGTGCATATGGTTGATTAAATAATATTGAAATCATCCGAAATAACATTAATTGGAATTATATAAAATTAAATTATAGGGGGAATATGCCACACTTGAGAAAAATATGCTTTTTTTCTTATTTCTCTTTCTTTTTGGGGTATCTTTGCATACCGGTCTTCTTTTTCCTTCTTTTATCTGTTATTTATACATGGTTTTAATGAAATGTTTTAATTCTTTACTATTAAAAAGAAAGAAATACAAAAGTGTTGCAAAATGGCATATTACCCCCATGCGATTTATGTAAGACAAAAATTTTGGATTAAAATTCTATTAAAGGTTACTTAAAATTTATTTATTAAAGAATACAATAATTTATCATCTATCTGTATATCTCTTCAACATAGAGATTGATAAAAAAACGGTAAGTACACGTATGTAAATTTAAAATTATTTGATCTCCAATATACAGTGACGTGTACGTATCTCGTAGATTTGTTTGGCTGCGCTTGTGCATAAAAAGTCGGTGGACAGAGAAGGTTACAGACGCTATCAATTTTGCCATTAAATTTTGTTCGCCAAAGTTTGCCAGACGACTCCAGCATCACCTTAATAAAACAAAAATAAAAAAGTTAGTTTAAAAAAAATAGACCTGCCTGTGTGATATAAGAGAAAGTCATCAAAGTGTCTCGAGCAACGCTCTGCCCTTGTCTAGTCTTTTTGATCGGCCTGTTGTGAGCTAGACAAGGAGAAGAGAGGAACTTGGGACTTCTGTCTTATATCGCTCGCCTACCGTGGATTTCTATAGCACTCCGTTCCAGGGGATCGATCATGTATCTTTTCCTCTAGGACGGAACGTAAAAAGTAAAAAGTTTATCTCTTTCTATTCAACACTAACAGAAAGACATAGTTAAATGAAACTTTTCACTTTTCACGTTTCCGCTCTAGGGAAAAAGTTACATGATCGCTACCCAGTTTGCATATATTTCAGTAGGTTTCAACTAAAAATGTAGTAAATCTATTGGTTGAACCAACAGTCATGATGCATAAATATAGCTAGACGCGATTATCTGACATCAAACGTGACTAACTTCAGGTAGGGATCCTCTAGGGATCCCTCAGGTAGGGATTCCTAACTTCAGGTAGAAGACATTAGTTTGTTTTAGCTGAACTTTTTGCAAAGTTCATCTTTTCTCTTTTTCTCTCCAACATGAAAAGAAAAAGAAAAAAGATGAACCGTGCAAGAAATACAGCTAAAACGAACAGATTATTGACGCCGAGTGTACATACATACATACAGTTTTACTACATTTCGACCAATGACTATGTTTCCATCGAGGGTTTAAATCAGGTCAGAGTCAACCAGTTAGCCAATGGTTATGCTGGTTATAACGGAATTAACCTAATTGCAATTGTAACCAGCATAGCTATTGGCTGACTTGACTGACTCTGACCCAATTTGAACCCTCGATGGAAACATAGTCATTGAAATCGTAGATACTCTAGTGAATTTCCTCACTTTTGTAATTTCTCTTTTCAAGATACACGATCGATAGGTCTATAATGTCTATATATTTTGTGGGAGTCGAGTATACATAAAATATATAAACGTGGACTCATACAGAAGTGTGCATGCACTCACCGACCACGTGTTCCAACATTCTTTCTCCCTCGTGATTTTTTCATTTTGGACGGAAAAATCAAATCTACTTTGCTGATAAACAGTAAGTAATAAATTGGCACAAATTATAAGTTTTTTAAATTAAGATTTCAGTCAATTTTGGGTCAAATTTCCAGTAATATTTTCTAGTCTCTGTATTCCTTTGTTTGACTTACAATTAATCACTACAATCTGCATCAAAAACTGAAATAAAATAAGATACATTAAATAAAGTAAAAAATACATTTTAAAAAATCTGAGGCACTTTCAATAAAATAAGCGTAAGTGTAGCGAACGTGCGTAATACAAATCTTACAATTTTTTTCTTTAGTGCTCGCGATATATCTCAGATTTACAAGGAAACATTTTTCTATTAAACAAAATTTTTTACAATTGTTTTTTCTTTAAAATATTAATTTATTTAATAATAATATATACTATATATTGCTTCTAAATTACTTCAAGTGAAGAGTCTAGCGCAGATTCAGCAGGAGAAGCAAGAGCGCGTCGCTAAGGTAAAGAAAAGAGAACGATTAGAAAAAGCCGGCCAGAAGGAATCTGCGAGTATGCTCCAGAACGCCGGTATATGGGGTACATCATCACAGTGTTTGAATTGGGCTAATTCGAGCGCATCAAGCAGCCAAGGGTGGTCCATAAATTCCGGTACTACTGGTTTCTGCGATTCTACAGCTGTTAAGTTGTCCACCACCACGAAACAGCCGGCTAAACAAGCTACAATTACAAAACCTGTATCTAGCCAGCAACAGCAGCAGCAACAACAGCAAAATAGTAATAATAAAGCATCCAAAAATAAGAATAAGAAAGAGGAGGAACTAGTAAAGGAATTGTTTGAACAGAACACTGCCAAGACCGACGAATTCACGCAATGGTGTAGTAAAACATTGAGCAGTATACAGGCGTCTGTGGACATCCCTACGTTCGTTACATTCTTGCGAGACCTCGAAACACCGTATGAAGTTAGAGAGTACGTTCGCGTTTACGTTGGGGATACCAAGCAGAGCATGGAATTCGCCAAGCAATTCCTCGAAAAACAAAGCAAACTGCGATCAGCGCAACGTCCTCAGGTACAAGCTGATGACTTGTGCAAGCCAGCTATTAACCCAGCACCCGCTATTAATCCAAATGCACCTGCAGAATTCCAAGAGGTTAAGGGAAAATCCAAGAAACCAAAGAAGGGAAAGATGTTCAAAGTGGATAACAGGAACCTTGACTTCAGTGTAACTGCTGCTCCCGATCGTATTAACGTAGGTGATCGTGATTATGGCGAAGGCTTAACGAACAAGCGAGCGAACGAGAGAACGAGAGAGCGAGTAAGTAATAGACGAAAATTGAGGAAATAAGGATAGGAGAAGGAGAGGAGAATGAAAGGAGAAAGAGAGGAGAAAGAAAGGAGAAAGGAGAAGAGAGGAGAGGAAACCAAGAGGTCAAAGAGGACTAAGGAGGACGAGGCAGCAAAAAGAAGGGAAGAGGATCTATATAATGGACGCGTGACAGGATGGAGGAAATCCGAGGAGTACTGAGCAGGGAAAGCAGAAGAAGATGGCCAGAGAGATGCAGAATGGAAGAGGGAAGGAAGGGAAATAAGTTGTGAGGTCGCTCAATGGCCAGGCTGGGAAATAATTGTAAATTAATTATACAGGGTTGGGTACGTACGTCCCTACAAAACGCCCTTTTAGACCCCTTGGGATAATAAAGTACCATTTTGAATTGAATATACTATGTGTAATAATATACATATATACCATATATATTTTTAAAATTTTTTTTAAAATTTTTTTTAAAAACACAAAACACGTGCTTGCGATATTTTATATTTGCGAAGAACCATTTCATTATTAAGAAAAAAATTTTTTAATTATTTTTAAAATTTTAATTATATTAATAATAATACATATTTTAATTATTCATAATAATATATATGTTGTTAAAATTTGATTTTTTTGCAAACGCAAGCACACTATTACCTAACCTAAATACTCAGGTAACACATACACGTTTCCGAAACGTTTTATAACCGATTTCTAGAAACGTTTCTCATGAGTAAAAATGTCCATTCAAAAAACGTTCGATGGAACGAAACCCTTTAGCTACAAAATGAGGGGTTAGTCATTCATTCTTTATCGACATTCGCCGAGTTATTGCGAAAAAACGAAAATTTTGGTTCCCCCGAAAAATAAAATTTTCGCGGTTTTTTGCATTTATCTCGTTTCGATTAATAGATAGCACTTTTTCGCTCCTGAGAAAGTTGTAGAGCTTGAAAAAACGAAGAAAATGAGCGGTAACTCGTTCCGATTCGTCAATCATCTGATACATGTTTAGTTTTCAAAACAGCGAGATAACCTTTATCCCCCCTTTAATATCAAATTCTCCGAGGCAAGACGAAGACCCTATAAGAACATGCAATGATATGATCGAAATGAATTATATTGGTAAGTAATGCTTTAATTGGTAAATAAGGTTTTTTTTAGAAGAGAATATAATTATATTTTCTATTTTAAAGATATCGAGTTTCATGAAGCTGTATTAGGTATATCCAATCAGAGTTTCTATATACGAAATATACAATCCTGGAAACGTAATTCTGTCTCGAGGTCCTAATAACGAATGGATTAAGTTGTGGAATGAATGGTCTCAGATTGTCTCGACATCAAGATTATTTTCCCCACCCTTATCACACCCGTGTAACTTTAAAACCAAAATGCTTAGACTATTATTGAAAAATAGCTGTTTTTAGCTATCAAAAACAGCTAACACAAAGCTAGATGCTGTAATGCTTATTGGTACATCAGAACTGATTCTTTCTAGAAATCCTTACGAGGATTTAACTGATCTGTTAAGGAAAATTAACTGCATGTACTCTCAAAACCATGAGGATATTCATAATTTAACAGCAGATTTAAAAAATGCACATATGGATATAGTTCATCTGCAAAGGAATTTTCCTGAATATTGCATTATTTGTAAAAGGTATTGTCGTCAACATTAGGTAATATTCAAATCCTTTTATGCTGTTGATAATAAATATAAAATTGTTCTAATATTATTTGCAGCGACATATAAGAAGAACTTCTTATAACAATAATTTGAGGCCCCAAGATGTATCTCAGGAAGTGATCCCTGATTATGTGCGACCTTATGGAGAGAAAAACTCGCGTCATATTTTATTAGAAAGTCATTCAAATGATGCAAAGCATATGAAACTCTCTTCGGATGAATCCAAGGAGCTCTCACGTTGCAGTATATCTGAGTTTCCTGTAAAGAATTCTAAAAAGTCTACGTACTTCTCGTAATAATATTTATTGCAATGTTATCTCGTGTATTAAAGTTTTATATTTTATTTTTGCAGGATAAAATAATGTTAAAAATATTTGAAAACTTAGATTTGATGACGTTATGCCGCATGAATAAAGTAAATAGGCGCTTTAACGATTTAATACGGGACTTTAGCCTCTATACACGTTTAAACATTCAACAGGGATGTCCCAGGGAGATGCGCTATTTATTTTGTTACCTTACATCTAGATGTAAATATTTGCAACAGTTGGAGCTTAAAGCAAGCACCTTTAATGTTACGGATTTTGTAAACTTTCTTGATAATTGCGGCAGGAGTCTAACGCACTTAAGATTAAATGACTGTCGTACTGTTGACAATCGGGCCTTACTTAAAATTTCAGAGATATGCAAAAATTTGAAAGGTATGTGTAAATAGGATGTCTTATTTTAAATGACCAACCTTAATTAAATATCTCTTGAACAATACACTTGAAACCTATAGACAATCTTATTAGATTTTAGGTTCGGGTCCCATGTTGAGCCCAGTACGGCCCAAATCCAATTTTTTAAATAGAGACCCTTATTTTTATTGTATCATTTTTTTCCATTAATTAAATTGAATAACTTTTGTTTGGAGAACTTCAAGGAAAACTTGGTTATTTTTTCAATATTTAGCTTACATTATCTCGATAATTGTTTGTCGAAGGGAAAAGTAGTACAGGACTTTTGACTCGATTTAGTCTCAAAAATATGCTGTTGCAATAGTATCCCAATTTTTTAAATATTTGTATGTATCTACATGAAAGCACCAAGGAGATGTATACTTACAAATATTTAAAAGAATTGGGACACTATTGCAACAGCATATTCTTGAGACCAAATCAAGTCAAAAAGTTCTGTATCACTTTTTTCCTCTGACAAACAATTATCGAAATATCGTAAGCTAAATATTAAAAAAGTCACCAAGTTTTCCTTGAATACCTCAAAAAATTTAAAAAGCAAATAAAAGATGTTTCAGATAAAAGTTGTTCAAATTAATTAGTAGAAAAAAAATAATAGAATAGAAATAAAAGTTTCTATTGGAAAAATTTGACTTGGGCTCTACTGGGCTTAACACGAGCCCCAGATCAAAAATTTGATAAGATCGTTTATTGGCCCCTTTTAAACCCTCTTTTTATTTAAAACATTTTTCTCTAAAATGTATTGTTCAAGAGATAGTTGAGGTCACATTTAAAATGGAATATCCTGTTTATAAATATATATAATATATAATTGTCGGGATTATATTGTTATATTATTGCATATAAACAACACATTTTTTTTTTTTAATTTACCTCAATTCAAGAGTTAACTAAGTTACGAGATTCGGAACAGCTGCAGCAAGTTATGTCACAAATTGAGAGGTACCCAGGAAGTCAACTGATATCATACAATCTATAGAATCCGATCTGGAATATCAGTTCATTAAAGCTAATAATATGGTAGCTGAAATAAAGAACGAAATAGCTACTATACACAAATTCACACAAGGGAAATACTCAAAACGTTTCCCGGAGCTAAAACTTTTAGTAACAATAAATACCATATCCTATGTAATGATCGTTAAAGAATTAGGAAATGATATATATATAGAGCCCAAATTACCAATCACAATTTAAACCGAATTATCAGCAAACAAGTTATAATAGAAATTGCTATCGGCGGCATCGATCACTCAGGGTCAGCTGTTGACAGAAGAGGAAAGACAACCTATTTGTGAAGCTTGTGATATAATAATAAAATTGAATAACTGTAAATTAAAGATTATTGAATATATAAAAGTAGAATGGCATTTATCGCGCCAAACCTAACGATAATCGTCGGTGCAACAATAGCTGCCAAGATTATGTGTATATATCATATAAAATCACAAATGTATGATAAAAATAAACGAAATTGTATGTTGTCACGAATTTCTTTAATTCAGGTCTAATAAAAAGGAAAATTTTCGTCATTTTAGTAAATGGAGTCATAGTTGTATGCAAACTAATATTTACTAAAATCCAGAAAATTTTTTTCTCAGTATACAATTGACAATTTTCGCGACAGAATATATCGTTTTACATAATTCTTAGCGTTATATGTTATTACAGTTTTACACACATAAATTTCAATTTCTTAGAATTACAAAAAGAATTAATTTTTGTTTATTGTTGAATTACACCCTCCCGCTTCATTCCTACCTACCCGTATGCTCATTTATTTCTACTTGAGTTTCTTACAATTATAGGTAATATTTTTAATAGAAAAAAATTTCATTATAATGAAGTTTCTTTCTATCGTCAAAAATTACATCCTCATATCCCTATCCACCTGTACCCTTATTGCTTATTTGTTTTCCTACCTACCCGATTTTTATCTAATTTTTACTCGTATTCCTGCCTATCCATCCGTATCTCTATGTATTATAGTATACCTATAGTTACGACCGCGATTACCCGTAATCAGACAAACGCGCGCAAATTTTAAATCGGTTTTAAATCATTTAAAAGGACCATTTAAAAGTTTTATTTGAGTTTCATTTACACGGAATAGAAATTTACTACGAGACGACATCTTTCCACGCGCGTCTCTGATTATGTATACAATCGCACGTATACAGATAACTTTACAGGCTTACCTTTACCTGTACTTTTATACATTGATTGGTGTGGTACACCAACCTACCTTAATCCTCTTCGTTTTCATTCTTCTAGCTAGAGTATAGACTCACCTCTTGCAGCACCTGGGGCCATATTCTGTTCCGCTAAAATCCGCTTACCGACAATTGTCGGTAAGCTGATTTTAGCGGAACAGAATATGGCCCCTGGCTTTATAGCCAGAAAGAGATCGGCAGTAAGGAGAAATACTCCTGCTGCTGCACCAATAAGCGTAAGATTTTACGCTTTTATACGATGCGCGAAACACGAACGCGTCGCGAAGAGGCCATCACATTTTAAATCAGTTAGTACACAGAAAGAAAAAAGTGTCAAATCAATACTTATATATATACTTATATATAAGCAAGAATATATATTTAATCTTGAAATGAGATTATATTAAACAAAGAAAACTTGCTTGAATGAAGTCATTTATATAGTTAAACGAAGTTTTATATACATAATTTATTCAAGAAAAAAAAGTTGAAATAAGAAATTGTATTTTCTTATAAGAAGATTATATATTCTTGTGTACGTACAACTATATCAGTGTTGATTTGGCACTTCCTTTTTTTCTGTGTACGAAACTAAAAATTAATAATAACAATAATAATTTCGTTAGCATATGAATTAATTTCGCATTTATTTTTTACACGC